GTGACAATATATGAGCAGCAAATGGCAAATTGTGACAAAAAATGGCCAGTAAATGGCAAGTGTGACTATACATGGGCAATTGTGACACAGGCAACAAATGAGTAATCGTGATAACAAATGGACAACAAACGGGAAAGTGTGACAATACATGGGCAACCAATGGGCTATTGTGACAATATATGAGCAGCAAATGGCAAATTGTGCCATAAAATGACCAGTAAAGGGCAAGTGTGACTAAACATGGGCAATTGTGACAGTGCATAGCTACCGTGAATATAATCATATAAACAATATATAATAAGTAGAAAAAAATAAAAATAGCAAAAAAAATGTATGCAGGGAATAAATAACACAATACTTTATCATCAGTGAATTGATCCTCTCAGGGATCTACAGTGAGTAGGTAAATGTGACCAAGCCTGGTACCGAGACCAGGAACTAAGTGACAACAAAACGTCCAAATGGGACCATATAAATGTGAAAATAATAATAATAAAGTGAATCCCTAAATGGGATCAATATACTCGTGTACTTCTCTTTATTACTGAAGGGGATATCTTCAGTCTGGACGGGTGTCAACCGCGCAGGGGGAACCTAATCATGGAAGGTCCCCGGTCTGAGTTCCAATAAGCAATTTGGCCCTTATAGGGTCGCTTCAAGGAGGTGAGGGGGCAATTTAGCCACACGCATTATTTCCGATCGGTGGTTATGCACATCCACAGTATCACTGGCACCTAAAGCTCTTGGAATACTTAAGGTGTTCACGCACCTTTGAACTTTTCCTTTTTTTTTTTTGGACTGTTTTATGTGATTATTTATGTCTAAGGGTTGTTGATGCGATTGTATTATTTTATCACACTCTTTCATTTTTTCTAATTGATTATTGATTCAATTTCTTGGAGTGTTATCACGGCACCTGTCACCATTGAGGTATCTGATCCCACATTTAGGGATCCACTCAGTGTCACTTGTCTGTATGTATATGGCTTAATTTAGCCATTGTGGCCTCTACTCACACGAGTATATTGATCCCATTTAGGGATTCACTTTATTATTATTTTCACATTTATATGGTCTCATTTGGACGTTTTGCTGTCACTGGTTCCTGGTCTCGGTACCAGGCTTGGTCACATTTACCTACTCACTGTAGATCCCTGAGAGGATCAATTCACTGAGGATAAGGTATTGTGTTATTTACAGTGGGGATCGAAAGTTTGGGCACCCCAGCTAAAAATTTGTATTAATGTGCATAAAGAAGCCAAGGAAAGATGGAAAAATCTCCAAAAGGCATCAAATTACAGATTAGACATTCTTATAATATGTCAACAAAAGTTAGATTTTATTTCCATCATTTACACTTTCAAAATAACAGAAAACAAAAAAATGGCGTCTGCAAAAGTTTGGGCACCCTGCAGAGTTAATATCTTGTACTGCCCCCTTTGGCAAGTATCACAGCTTGTAAACGCTTTTTGTAGCCAGCCAAGAGTCTTTCAATTCTTGTTTGAGGTATCTTTGCCCATTCTTCCTTACAAAAGTCTTCCAGTTCTTTGAGATTTCTGGGCTGTCTGTCACGCACTGCTCTTTTAAGGTCTATCCATAGATTTTCAGTTATGTTGAGGTCAGGAGATTGTAAAGGCCATGGCAAAACCTTCAGTTTACGCCTCTTGATGTAAACCCCCGTGGATTTCGAGGTGTGTTTAGGATCATTATCCATTTGTAGAAGCCATCCTCTCTTTAACTTCAGCTTTTTCACAGATGGCATCAAGTTACCATCCAAAATTTGCTGAAATTTTATTGAATCCATTTTTGCTTCTACTCGTGAGATGTTCCCTGTGCCACTGGCTGCAACACAACCCCAAAGCATGATTGATCCAACCCCATGCTTAACAGTTGGACAGAGGTTCTTTTCATTAAATTCTGTGCCCCTTCTTCTCCAAACGTACCTTTGCTCATTCCGGCCAAAAATTTCAATTTTAACCTCATCGGTCCACAGAACTTGTTTCCAAAATGCATCAGGCTTGTCTATATGTTCTTTTGCAAAGTTCAAACGATGATTTTTGTGGTGAGGACGTAGAAGAGGTTTTCTTCTGATGACTCTTCCATGAAGACCATATTTGTACAAGTATCTCTTTATAGTGGAATAGTGTACCACAACTCCGGTGTCTGCCAGATCTTTCTGGAGGGATCACGCAGTCAAACGTGGGTTTTGAATTGTTTTTCTCACAATCCTGCGAGCTGTTCTGTCTGATATTTTTCTTGGTCTTCCAGATCTTGCTTTAACTTCCACTGTTCCTGATGACTGCCATTTCTTAATTACATTCCAAACAGAGGATATTGACATCTGAAAATGCTTTGCTATCTTCTTATAGCCTTCTCCAGCTTTGTGAGCGTCAACTATTTTCAGTTTCAGTTTTCTAGACAACTGCTTAGAAGAACCCATGGTGCTGATTGTTGGGGCAAGGTCAGATGAGTCTGGGCATTTAAAACCTTTGAGCTTGACATCACCTGGTCTTCCCAGACGATGATTGAGAACAATCCATGACACTGGCATGTCTCAGCTTTGCAAAGGGGGCAGTGCATGCTCTAAATTCTGCAGGGTACCCAAACTTTTGCAGACGCCATTTTTTTGTTTTCTGTTATTTTGAAAGTGTAAATGATGGAAATAAAATCTAACTTTTGTTGACATATTATAAGAATGTCTAATCTGTAATTTGATGCTTTATGGAGATTTTTTTATCTTTCCTTGGCTTCTTTATGCACATTAATACAAATTTTTAGCTGGGGTGCCCAAACTTTCGATCCCCATGTATTCCCTGCATACTTTTTTTTGCTATTTTTAGTTTTTTCTTATCATTATATATTGTTTATATGATTATATTCAGGGTAGCTATGCACTGTCACAATTGCCCATGTATAGTCAAACTTGCCATTTACTGGTCATTTTATGGCACAAATTGCCATTTGCTGCTCATATATTGTCACAATAACCCATTGGTTGCCCATGTATTGTCACACTTTCTCGTTTGTTGCCCATTTACCCCTTTGTTGCCTGTGTCACAATTGCCCATGTATAGTCACTCTCGACATTTATTGGCTGTTTTTTTGGCACAAATTGCCATTTGCTGCTCATATATTGTCACAATAGCCCATTGGTTGCCCATATATTGTCACACTTTCTTTTTGTTGGCCATTTACCCCATTGTTGCCCATGTCACAATTGCCCATGTATAGTCACTCTCGACATTTATTGGCTGTTTTTTGGCACAAATTACCATTTGCTACTCATATATTGTCACAATAGCCCATTGGTTGCCCATGTATTGTCACACTTTCTCGTTTGTTGGCCATTTATTGTCATGATTACTCATTTGTTGCCCGTGTCACAATTGCCCATGTATAATCACACTTGCTATTTACTGGCCATTTTGTGTCACAAATTGCCATTTGCTGCTCATATATTGTCACAATAGCCCATTGGTTGCCCATGTATTGTCACACTTTCCCGTTTGTTGGCCATTTATTTATTTGTTCACTGCAGTTCCACTTGGTATATGGTTAGGTGTCCCCCTTATTAGAATTTATTGCTTAAATAGTAGTGCAGGTCAGGAGGTTCCTATTGTAGTTGTGACAGTGCACAGGCAACAAACGGTCAAGTATGGCAATACAAGGCCAACAAATTAGATGTTGTAGTAATCTGTGAGCAACAAACTGGCAATTGCAACAATAGCTGGGTAACAAAGGGGCAATCATAACATTTGATAAGCAACAGTCGTCTGTTATAATACATGGGCAACAAACAAGCACACTTGGAAACTTGCCAAAACTGACCCGGCAATGCCGGAATTTGGAACCAGAGCCATTACCGGAATCAGGCAATACTCTGCAAAAAAAATTAAAAGTCTGATATTGGTATGTATTTTACTATAAACTCTGGATCTATCCTTTAAGCCCCTCCCACTTCTAAAGGTCAATTTGGTCACACCCAATATTTAATACAGGCTGTTATGTGTTAGCCACACCCACAACTCCACCCCCTTTTTAAAGGAATTACGACTGTCAAAGGTTGCCAGGAATGCAGACAAGCAATTGTGACAATATATTGACAATGAATGGGGCATCAATGCGTGGGCAACAAACAGGCAATTGTTAACATGTGGGCCACAACCATCCACAGCCGGGCCGGAGGGGACGTATTGACTGAAGACTCTGGGCCAGTTCTGGAAGCTTTACGGATCTAATTATCGATTTCACACAGCAGATAGACACTTAATACCCACCATTGTATATTCTGGCATGGAAAAAGCGTTGTCACCCCACAACAGGAAGTGACTGACCAAGACATTTCGTGGCAGGATCAATAGATTTTATTTGAATTAATTCTTCATGATTAAAAATGACTTTTGAAATGAAAATGTAAAAGTGTAAAAGAGAGTTTAGTGATTGGGTTTTCATATATTTAATACTGAAAATTGTGAAGTTTTTCCAGGGGAAATTATAAAAACACTGAGCCTGTCCCTTTAAATTCGGGGACAGCCTGTAACCATGGTGAGGAAGAAATGTCTGCCATTCCGTGAACTTACACGCCCCGCCGACCACGCCCTGTTCATGGACGTACCTGGCTCCTGGGAATCAGGCACCTTCGGGGACAGCTTTTTTTGTGGGCGCGGGGGGGCCTTCCGAGCTTCTGTACGGCAATGGCGGCCATGTTGCTGTACGGCGGAAGTAGCACTCTCCAGCTCCTATCCCAGAATAAAAGACTCATGAAAGTGAACTTGCGAGCGCTGAAGCCCCCTTTACTGAGTATATCACTAATATGGAGGCGGAAAAGTTTATCCTTAGAACTGGAAATCACAAGCTGGGGAGGGGCAGGGCTGAGCGGCGGCCGCCATGTTGGGTGAGGGCGGAAGCGGCGGGGTGGGCGGTACCATCTCGCGGTCTGTGGGAGAGGGAAGTGGCGGCCTGTCAGTGAGTGACACCGGGGAGAGAGCAGAGCTGCCGACATGATCCTGCTGGAGGTGAACAACCGCATCATCGAGGAGACCCTCGGCCTCAAGTTCGAGAATGCGGCGACCGGGTGAGTGTGAGGGGCCCCTGCGGCCCTTGAATGTGCTGTGTGGCCCTGAGTGGGTGGAGGCAGTGTCCTCTGACTGGGTGAGAATGGGGCCCTGAGTGGGTGGAGGTCCCTGATTAGGATGGAAGGAGGGTCCTGAGGGACTGTGGCTTCTGTGCTGGTCCCTTTGAGAGAAAATGGGCTCTCAGTGGGGGGCTCTTAGTATATGAGTGCTGGGCCCTCAGTGGGGGGAGGAGGGTCTCTCAGTGGGTGCTGGCCCTCAGTGGGGGGAGGAGGGTCTCTCAGTGGATGCTGGGCCCTTAATGGGGGGGAGGAGTTTTGAGTGGGTGCTGGACCCTTAATGGGGGAGGGGCTTTGAGTGGGTGCTTGGTCTGCAATGGGGGGGGAGGGGCTTTGAGTGGGTGCTGGGCTCGCAACTGGGGGGAGTGTTGAGTGGGTGCTGGGCCCGCAACGGGGGGGAGGAGTTTTGAGTGGTTGCTAGGGCCTAATGGGGGAGGGGCTTTGAGTGGGTGCTGGGCCCGCAGCGGGGGGGAGGGGCTTTGAGTGTGGGCCCGCAGCGGGCCCTCAATGGGGGGAGTGGCAATTAGTACATGGGTGCTGGGTCCCCAAAGAGGGAAAAGGGTTCTGGACTCTTAATGAGTGGGAGGGGCTGTGAGTAGATGGGTGCTGGCCCTTGAGGGAGACCATGGGCCCCTGTGGAGGGGTAATGCAGGATGGTGCTGGCAGCACCAAGTCTTTGAGGGTGTCAGGAAGGCAGCTGTGGGTTGGCTGTTGAATGTGGGGTCCCTGTGTGGTCATGGTAGAAGAATGTCACCCGCACACTGTAGATCTCTAAACTGGGTCCAAAAGCTTTATTAAGCGATCACATCATTATAGCAGGAGCAACGTTTCTGATCCTCGCAGGATCCCTTCATCAGGGATGCGACTTGTGCATTTGTGTGGTCATGGCGACGCGGTCTACTTGGTAATTGGCATGACTGGGGATCAAAGAGGTGCACTTTTGAAGTTCAGTGGGTGTCTGGAGGGATGTATTGGGCATGTGGGGGTCCAACTGATGATGAGAGGGTTGCATGGGGGTACAGCTGATGATCAGGGGTGCCCCGGGCAGGCTGGAGCTCAGCGGGCGTCCAGAGGGGTGCCCCGCGCAGGCGTCCAGAGGGGTGCCCCGGGCAGGCTGGAGCTCAGCAGGCGTCCAGAGGGGTGCCCAGGGCACGCTGGAGCTCAGCAGGCGTCCAGAGGGGTGCACCGGACATGGAGGGGGCCGGTAGAGGAGTAAAGTGGTACACTGGGCACGTTGAAGCTCAGCTGGACTCCAGAAGGACACACGGGATGTTGGGACCCAGCAGATGATCAGAGGGGTGCACAGGGCATGTTGGAGTCCAGCAGAGTGCGCCAGGCATGTTGGAGCTCAGTGGGTGTCCGGAGGGGTGCTTTGGGCTTGTGGGGGCCAAGCCAACAATCAGAGGGCTGCGCCAGGCACATTGGTGCTCAGCAGAAATCCAGCGGGGTTCATGGGGTATGTTGAGGTATGATCATCAGGAGGGTGCACGGGGCACAATGGTGCTCAACAGATGCCCAGAGGGGTGCATTGGGCATGATGAAGCTCAGTGGCACTCCAGACAGGTGTATGGGGCATATTGGGGCCCAGCAGATGATCAGAGGGGTGCACCAGGCACATTGGAGCCCAGCAGAGGGTACCGGGTATGTTGGAGCCCAGTAGGTGTCCAGAGGGTGTATTAGACTTGTGGGGGCCAAGTCAACAATCAGAGGAATGCACCGGGCACATTGGTGCTCAGCAGGAATCCAGAGGGCTGAATGGTGGGTATGTTGGAGCTCAGTGGGCTTGTGGGGACCCAGTTGATGATCAGGAGGGTGCACCAAACAATGAACCTCAGGAGGTGTGCAGAGGGGTGCACTGGGCATGTTGGGGGGCCCGGTGGACATTCAGAGGCGTGCACAGGACGTGGTGCACAGGGCACACCGAAACCTCCCAGGGATAGATCGCCTCATTGCCACTAGTCAAACGCCCTCTGAAAAGTGGTTCATTGTGGATCACTTTTTAGGGCCTGTTGTCACCAGATGCAGTTGGATGCATTATTGATTGCGCTCCAACTGTACAGACAGTCCAAGATCCAGGTTATCCAATGGGCATAGTTCACACTACATCAGTGCAGTGAGAGTACAGCATGCTGCATTTTTCTGCACTGCAAATGCGCACAAATGCATGTAAAGGGTGGAAAAAAATGCACCACAATGCTGTGAAGTGCACATGAAAGCCCAGAGAAGAAAGATGACGGAAGTGACCTCAAAGGAAATGCAAACTTGAAAATGCCTCGCAAATGCACGTTAAAAAAAAAAACACATGTGTTGCCGTACATGCAAAACTACAAAGTAAAGTTTCTGGTATGAAGGGCCCTTAGAGGTGTGGTAAGGGCTGCCACATGTGAGAGCGAGCCCTTAGAACAAGGGTGTCAAACTGGCGGCCCTCCAGCTGTTGCGAAACTACAAGTCCCATCATGCCTCTGCCTTTGGGAGTCATGCTTGTACCTATCAGCCTTGCAATGCCTCATGGGACTTGTAGTTTGGAAACAGCTGGAGGGTCCCCAGTTTGACACCCATGCCTTACAACAAGCGAGCCTCAGGAGAAAGGTGTGGGAGTCTTGTATGAAAATTTTATATATGGACCCCCTGAGATTACAATTACGGGGCGCCAGGGGTGGCCGCCATCAGCGATCGCTAGATTCTTACCAGCGGTACCAAACTCTGCCTGCGCACTCTGTGCGACCAGCAGCAGCTGTTAGATTTGTACCCTGTACAGATCAAAGGCCTGCGCCGTCTAAGGCTACGTTCACACCAGCCTTGTTTGCAAGCGGCAGACAGGCGTTTGGGAAGCGTTTTTACCGCTTCCCAAACCGCACACATTGCAGCACATGGTGCTGTTCACACGGGAGCGTTAGCGTTGCGGAAAAACGGACGCCTCTGGTCGAGTCAGGAGGAGTTAAAGCCTCCTATTCAAGTCTATGATGCTGCTCCGCAAACGCGGCGTGTGCGGTGCGGTTGCGGAGCGGTAACACCATTCAAATTTCATTACAGGCGTTTGTGGGGCATTTGTAACATTTTGCAACTGCCACTAAACCGCGCATGCGGCGGGTTAAAAAACTCTCCGCAAACGCCGGACCAACGCTTGTCAAATGCTATAGGGGCGTTTGACAAGAGTTGGAAAAACAGTCAAGTGTGAACGAGCCCTAACCGCTCACACACATAAATTGAGCCTCCAACCGACCGTGGGCGGAGCCAATGCGTGGCTGAGGTCGCCATTTCTGCAGTTTTGGCAGCACACAGACTGGCCGCAGCTATATTATTATTATTATTTTATATATTACATTATACAGGATTTATATATTATTATTATTTTATATATTATTATTATTATACAGGATTTATATATTATTATTATTATACAGGATTTATATATTATTATTATTATTATACAGGATTTATATAGAGCCAGGATTTATATAGAGCCAACAGTTTGCTCAGCGCTTTACAATATAACGGGAGTCAATACAGCAACAATACAGTTCAATACAAGAGGGATAGGAGGGCCCTGATCCTTGGAGCTTACAATCTAGGAGGGAGGGGCTAGTGGTACAAAAGGTAGTAACTGTGGGGATGGACTGGTAGGAGGAATAGAAGATTCCATTATTAGCTGAGGGCAGGATAGGCTTTCCTGAAGAGATAGGTTTTCAGAGATTGCCTAAAAGTGAGCAGAGTAGGCAATAAGTTTGATAAATTGGGGTAGAGAGTTCCAGAGGATGGGGGAAACTCTGCAGAAGTCTTGGAGACGAGCATGGGAGGTGGAGACAAGGGAGCTAGAGAGCAGGAGGTCTTGCGAGGAGCGGAGAGGACGGTTATTGGCTGGTTTGTATGCAGTCATATCACAGCACATCAACACATCCACAGGCGCTATTTAGCCACCTCCGTATGCAGCAGAGTAACTATCTGCTCCTGGCCACCCAAGTCAATATAGCCTCAATGCCGAAACAACAAAAACTTTATCGACTAATGAACAGTCTTATAATATATACATATTATCTTTGTATGTGAAGTCCTTTATGCAGCAGGTTCCATTGTCTGCCTTCATCTCTGTATGAAGGGTGAGGTTGTTTAGCCGTTTTGGGGAAATTGCTTCTGTGTGTTGTAGGAAGATGAGAGCAGACTTCCTCTTCTGAGACATTTCAGTACAAGCCCGGGCCCGGAGATCACACATTCCCTGACATGCTGCTACAAGCCGCAGAGGGCGGCCGGCCTGGACTCAGCTGCTTGGAGCACCTCTGCAGATCAATCTGTCATTCATTTAATTATCTGGAAAGATTCTTTTTTTTTTTTTTTTTTTTTTTTTCTGTTTAAATTTTTTGTTTTCTGACCTAAACTCTAGTCCAGCGTCTTGTCTGCTGGTATTCTCTGATGGTGTCACTGAAGTGGTGAAACCACAGGCTGAAGCGGTGCATTTATTACGCTGTGCTAAGCCAATGACTATTTATGAAGTGACCTCAGTCATTTTGCAACTCACCGTTCTGAACTGTGTGGCTTCAGGGGTGTGGAAAGTTTTGAAAAAACTGCTTGTCCAGGGACCAAATCGGGGTCCCAATCCACTTGTCCCTCATGGCAAACTACTAGTCCAGATTGAAAAAAAAAAAATACATTTTAGCCAAAACCGTATTTAACCTCTTCAATACCGGGCACTTTTACCCCCTTCCTGCCCAGGCCAGTTTTCAGGTTTCAGCGCTCTCACACTTTGAATGACAATTGCGCGGTCATACAACACTGTACCGAAACTAAAATTTTTTTCATTTTCTTCACATAACTAGAGCTTTCTTTTGGTGGTATTTAATCACCGCTGGGGTTTTTATTTTTTGCTAAATTAACAGAAAAAAACAAACATTTTGAAAAAAAAAACACGTTTTTCTTTTTTGCAAATAAATAATTGTTCTTCATAAATTTAGGCAGAGATGTATTCTGCTACATGTCTTTGGTGAAAATAACCCAAATTAGGATGTATTATTTAGTTTTAGGAAAGTTATAGAGTTCACAAACTATGGGATAGATCTGAATATTGATCAATCCTGAAGTACTGACAGCCAATCTAATTTCTTGAGGTCCAAAATGTCAGAATAGTACAGATATCCCCCAAATGTCAGGACAGTACAGATATCCCCCCAAATGTCAGGACAGTACAGATATCCCCCAAATGTCAGGACAGTACAGATATCCCCCCAAATGTCAGGACAGTACGGATATCCCCCCAAATGTCAGGACAGTACAGATATCCCCCCAAATGTCAGGACAGTACGGATATCCCCCCAAACGTCAGGACAGTACGGATATCCCCCCAAACGTCAGGACAGTACGGATATCCCCCCAAACGTCAGGACAGTACGGATATCCCCCCAAATGTCAGGACAGTACGGATATCCCCCAAATGAACCCTTTTTGCAAAGTAGACAGTCCAACGTACTTCATAACAGGCATGGCGAGTTTTTTGAAGTTGTATTTTTTTTTGTCATTTTTCGGAAATTAAAAAAATTAGTTTCACTATTTTTTTTGTTTTCATATTGTCACCAGTGCAGTACAGCGTCATCATATAACTGGCATGGCGGTGATCAGGGACACTGACTGGTGACAGTATGAAAAAAATATATATGTATTATTTTTTTTTTTATAAAATTTTTTTTCTTTTTTTTAAGATTTCTTTTTTTTTTTTCATATTTCACTATGACAGTGATCAGTATTTTTTTTTTTTTTTTTTTTTTACACAATTTGGTTATAGCAAAGAATTACTTTGCTATAAGCAAGCATTTACCTGAATGACATCGATTCATTCAGGTTTTTTTTTTTTTTTTTTTTTTTTTTTTGTGCTTAGCTGTGATTTGGCCACAGCTAATCACATGACATGTGCATGTGATTAGCTGTGACCATTCACAGCTAGACACTAGTATACAATGGATGGCATGAATGAAGCCATCCGTTGTATACAACTGTCATGTGACCTGCTGTGATTGGTCACAGCAGGTCACATGGTACCGGCAACGGGGCCGATACTCAGATCTGTCATCGGCCGTGTCCGAGATACACGGCCAGGTGTGACAGATCGCGCCGCTGCACCACTCTGCAGGAGCGCAATCTGCGCATGTGCGGGAGGACGCCATATGGCGTCCACCCGGAACGCTGATGACATTTGCCGCCCGCCATTCGGCATAGGGTGGGCGGCAAATGGTTAAATAAGATAACGTTCCCTTTTTTGTTTTGAAGCTCTTTTTAGATTTGGCCGTCTTTTTCTCTGTGTTGAATAAACTTCCCTTTTCTTTTTTTAGGAATAAACCAGAGGCGGTGGAGATGACATTTGCAGGTAATGATTTTTTGTCACACTTTTTGTATTCTAAAAGCTACAATGCAAATTCTCTAGTTTGAAAAGACTAAAAGGGGATTGGAACAGTCTGGTATATTATTTATTTATCACAGGTCCTTATATAGCGCCATCAATTTCCGCAGCGCTTTACATATATATTGTACATTCACATCAGTCCCTAACCCTCAAGGGGCGTACAATCTAAGGTCCCTAACTCACATTCATACATACACATACTAGGGACAATTTAGACAGGATCCAATTAACCTACCAGCATGTGTTTGTGGGAGGAAACCAGAGTACCCGGAGGAAACCCACGCAGGCACAGGGAGAACATGCAAACTCCAGGCAGGTGGTGCCGTGGTTGGGATTTGAACCAACGACCCGAGTACTGCCAGGCGGAAGTGCTAACCATTTACAGATTGCTTTATAAAGTCATAGAAATATCCAAAAAGTGCATAAAGATCCTGGCTGCACCCACTCAGTGCTGCTGCGGGGTTCTCACCATGCCTTACTAATAAGACATTGGTGACGGTCCTTAGCATTATGGTCATGTGACATGGAAACTTGGTAATCTACTTCCTTCTAATTCCAATCATTTACAAATAAAATGTGTCAGATCTCTATAAACCAAAAGCCAGTTCCCTGCAGCAGAACTAGAATACTTCCCTTTCCCCTTACCCTAACTCCCTCCTTTTCAAGCTCTGCAGCCTCTTTTAGTCTCTTTGGCATCCGACATTTCCGTAAGTGTCAGGTTCTGGTAGCCCCCTTCCCACACTGGTACTTTCCTTTACAACACTGCTGGGTACTATGGTGACAAAGGGATGAGCATGGAACTGCAGCAGTTGCACCAGAGTCAAAGGAAGAAACAAGCACCCATCAGGGGCATCTGACACGCATCCATTGTTGGAGGCTGCAGAGCTGGAACGGAGAGAAGGTAGGAGACCTGGTCCCATGGATTGGTCAGTATATCACCCCTTCTGCTTCTTGGAACACTTTAACCACTTCCAGTCCGGACACTTTCACCCCCTTCCTGTCCAGGCCAATTTTCAGCTTTAGCGCTATCACACTTTGAATGACAATTGCGCGGTCATGCAACACTGTACTCATATGAATTTTTTAGCATTTTTTTTTTGAGACAGATAAAGCTTTATTTTGGTGGTATTTATTCACCGCTGGGATTTTTATTTTTTTGCTATGTAAATGAAAAAGTCCAAAAATTTTGAAAAGTGTTTTTCTTATAACATTTTGTAAATAAATAATATTTCATCATAAATCTTGGCCAAAATGTATTCAGTTTATCTTTTTAGTAAAAAAAAATAACCCAAAAATTATTTTTTAGTTTATAACCAAAAATTATTTTTTTTTTATAGTTTTTGTTTTTTTTTACATACTGTCACCCTAGCAGTGGGAAGATGAAGATTTTTTTTTTTCTTTTTACACTGATTGCTTTTACACCCATAAAGGCTGTAAAAGCAATCATTTCTCCTTCTCTCTGGCTGCATTCTTGCCACCATTGAGAACTAATGTGTGAGCTGTTATTGGTCACAGCTTGTCACATGGTAAAAGGCTGTTGTGAATAGCCTTGTACCATGTGACCTCTTTGATCATTCACAGATTTCACACGTAGTAAGCAATGATGTCAGAAGTGGCCAATCAGTGATCACGTGATCAGGACCTCGCACACAGGTCCTGTATGACGGTCGGGTTTCCACTGTGTCCGGAGGAGTCAGCGGGCACCGGATCGCGGTGCTGCGCATTTCCAGGGAGCGCGCACAAACAGGGGGTGGGGAGGCCGTTTATAAACGACCACCCGACCCTGCACTGCCACCGTCCGGCCGTTTATATACAACGGACAGACGGGAGGTGGTTAAAGAGACCTCACAGGGTCTCTTTAAAGTGTATATTCACTGCTCTGCCTTGCACTGCAAAACAAAAATGCTTTTTTATTCATTTTTAATATTCAAAGCTAACTCCCCCATCCATCCGTCCATCCATCCATGTCTCCATGCTTTATTTAGCTGTGAAACCACTTTAACCCCTCGCCCTCCAGAGGATTTACCCTCCCCGCAATCCTTCCTGACCAGGCCATTTTTTGTGATGCAGCGCTCCATTGCTTTAACTGACACCCTCTAGTAATTCTGGCTGTAGCCATCTTGAGTAAGGGCAGATGATTTATGTAGTGGTATACCGAAATGAAAATCTGGTGCTGAAACCGATACCGAAAAGTCAGAATGCACGTGGCCGAAAACCGAAATGTCTACGTATATGGGGTTGGGGAGGCTCCAATTTTTTGTGTGCGTGTGTGTTTATTGCTATCACATAGGGGACCAATAGTCCCCTACGTGATAGCATATGAGTGACAGGTCCTCTTTGTGAGGAGGCAGGAGAGGAACAGTGTGTACAGAGAGGCTCCCTCACTGGCTGCCACTATGGAGTTTATTTACTAAAGCTGGAGAGTCCAAAATCAGACTCCCTTCTGCATAGAAACCAATCGGCTTCTAACCTCAGCTTGTTCAATGAAGCTTTGGTAATGAAACCTGGAAGCTGATTGGTTTCTATGCAGAAGGGATTCTGATTTTGGACTCTCCAGCTTTAGTAAATAAACCCCTATATGTCAGTTCCAATTTTTAATGCAATTGCCAGCTTTTCTTTTTTTCTTCTTCACTATAGCTCACAGAATTAGCCCTCATTTTCCCCGGAGCTAAAAAACTTTGTTTCTTTTATCTCGGGAAAGAAACTAAAAGGAAACTTAGCTGTCACTTTCCCCCCAGCTAAAAGAAACAAATTCTGTGAGCTATGGTGAAGAAAAAAAAGCCAGTTATTACATTTAAAAACCAGCACTGACATATACTGACATCCAGTCCCTGTATACACTGCCTTTCTCAGCCGCCCCACCCCCTCACATCTGCAGTACACACACAGCCTCCTATGGGCACCTGTATCGGCTAATTGTTTCCTATCGGCAAAATGCCTATAGGGCTATTTTCAGCTGATATGTTTCGGTGCATCCCTAGATTTATGCTTCCTGGAATCCATCTGCCCTTAGCTCAGCCATGCAGGCAGGAGCATTTGCTTAGCCTCCTGATGAATCTGGGGGGATGTATGACATAATTTGCCTAGACCTGGAAACCAGGAAGTATTGGAAGAAATTAATATAAAAAAGCTAAGCACAAGTAAATATGATACACGTTCCTATCTGTTAACTAAGGCAAGCGGCATAAGGATTACAAACAGCCCATGTTGACTGAGAGAGGGAAGCTCCTTCTTAAAGTGTTTGTATAGTCAAAATGGGCAGCACAGTGGCTAAATGGTTAGCACTTCCTCCTGGCAGTACTCGGGTCATTGGTTCGAATCCCAACCACGGCACCACCTGCCTGGAGTTTGCATGTTCTCCCTGTGCCTGCGTGGGTTTCCTCTGGGTACTCCGGTTTCCTCCTACATTCCAAAGACATGCTGGTAGGTGAATTGGCTTCTCTCTAAATTGTCCCTAATATGTGTATGTATGAATGTGACTTTGGTCTGACCTTTGTGTGACTTGAGGGCCATAGACTTCAATGTAAACCCTCCAAAGTCACATGAATGTCACACCTCAATGATAGGCTAAATGGTTAGCACTTCTACCTTAGATTGTACGCCCCTTGAGGGTTAGGGACCTTAGATTGTACGCCCCTTGAGGGTTAGGGACCTTAGATTGTACGCCCCTTGAGGGTTAGGGACCTTAGATTGTACACCCCTTGAGGGTTAGGGACCTTAGATTGTACGCCCCTTGAGGGTTAGGGACCTTAGATTGTACGCCCCTTGAGGGTTAGGGACCTTAGATTGTACGCCCCTTGAGGGTTAGGGACCTTAGATTGTACGCCCCTTGAGGGTTAGGGACCTTAGATTGTACGCCCCTTGAGGGTTAGGGACCTTAGATTGTACGCCCCTTGAGGGTTAGGGACCTTAGATTGTACGCCCCTTGAGGGTTAGGGACCTTAGATTGTACGCCCCTTGAGGATTAGGGACCTTAGATTGTACGCCCCTTGAGGGTTAGGGACCTTAGATTGTACGCCCCTTGAGGGTTAGGGACCTTAGATTGTACACCCCTTGAGGGTTAGGGACCTTAGATTGTACGCCCCTTGAGGGTTAGGGACCTTAGATTGTACGCCCCTTGAGGGTTAGGGACCTTAGATTGTACGCCCCTTGAGGGTTAGGGACCTTAGATTGTACGCCCCTTGAGGGTTAGGGACCTTAGATTGTACGCCCCTTGAGGGTTAGGGACCTTAGATTGTACGCCCCTTGAGGGTTAGGGACCTTAGATTGTACGCCCCTTGAGGGTTAGGGACCTTAGATTGTACGCCCCTTGAGGGTTAGGGACCTTAGATTGTACGCCCCTTGAGGGTTAGGGACCTTAGATTGTACGCCCCTTGAGGGTTAGGGACCTTAGATTGTACGCCCCTTGAGGGTTAGGGACCTTAGATTGTACGCCCCTTGAGGGTTAGGGACTGATGTGAATGTACAATATATATGTAAAGCGCTGCGTAAATTGATGGCGATATATAAGTACCTGAAATAATAAAATAAATGTGTTTGGTTTTTTTTTTTTTTTTTTTTTGTTTTTTTTTTGTTGCTGTTATAAAATTTTGCAAAGAAGTCATTTTTCTTCTACGTTGCTGAGGCTGCACTGATGAGGCATCCAATGTATTGAAGCTCCTCATTGTAAAGCTGTAGCATGCCGTTGTTCTGCTGTCAGGAGAGCTCCCACGGTTTTCTGATAAAAATAGCCGTGACTTTTCCAGGATTGAGAACAGACCTGCGGAGTTTTTCAGCATTATAAATAGCGCACTTCGGATTTATAAATCGGTATATAAAACTGCACACAGCTCTCCATCCTAGGGAAGGGTTAGCTTTTTTGATAAACAGATTCCTTGTGGGATGTTTGGATGGAGCGTGAGTCACATTCACCGTGTGCCCAGTCCTAGGAACAGTCTGTGTCAGCGGCTTTTTTTTTTTTTTTTTTTTTCTTATAATTGCAGTCATATGGTCCACCGTTTTTGTGAATCATAAAAGACTAAATGAGGCTAGAGGTGCATCAGTCCTTCTTAGATTAGTAATTTAACCCCTTCACGCCTAAGGGTACAACAAATCTTAACGCCTAAGCACAATTTTGCAACGTTGACCTGTGTTAGTAAAACCGTCCATATCATCAGAACTACTTTATACATCCAGGTGGATTATACCGCTTTTTTTTTTTTTTTCCAGGCAAAAATTGGGCTTTCATTTGGGGGTAAATGGTAATGGATATCTCCCTGATTTTTTTTTTTTTTAAAGGAAAACTGGCCCAGAATAGTAAAAAAAAAAATATATATTTTTTAAAAATTAGCTGTGTTTCTTGTTACAACCATAACCTACCACCAAAGAACAACCCAAAATAAATTTTTCAGCTCTTGGCGATCGCAGCGATACCATATATGTGTATGTTATTTGTTGTTTGTACCCGTAGTACAGCCCAGAAACAATAGTTCGCTTTTTTTTTTTTTTTTTTTTTTTTTTTTACCTAAAACACACTGACACGAATACCAGTTTAAAAAAAAAAAAATCTTGACCTTTTGAACCTGACCCAAACACTTACCCTCGCACTGAACCTTGATCTAGGTATTTTTTATCCTTTGTTTAAAAAAAAAAAAAAAAAAAAAAAAAGTTTCTTCCCCCCCCATGCCAGGAGTTGAGAGATACAATGTATCTCTCTCCTCCATTCATAGAGAGAGAAAAAAAAAAGGGGGCCGGGCTGTACAGTGACTGATCGCTGTGATAGCCTCTGATGGGCTATCACAGCGATCATGTGACCCGGAATCGGGAGTCTCGGGCCCTGATCATTAGAACGGGACCCGGAGCTCTCAGCGACACCCCGGTCTTTGTGCTGGGAGTGAGACAGGTCCGCAAATATGTGGCTCCAGGGATAAAAATGCAGTTCTGTGAGGCCGCATGTTTGATGTTGGCGTCAAGGGGTTAAAGAAACACTAACTTGAGAATTTTTATAACTTCTGTGTAAGCACAGACCACCGATTCATGTTACCCACTTAAAGCCACAAATACAGACCTTCTGTAAGATGGAGTTTAGTACAAGGTCTGCTTTTCACTTACTACCGGGCACTTCACCCCCTTCCTGCCCAGGCCAATTTTTTAGGCTTCAGCTGTCACACTTTGACAATTGTGCGGTCATGCAACACTACCCAAACTAAATTTTTTTTATAATTGTTTTTGAGACAAATCGAGCTTTCTTTTGGTGGTATTTAATCACCACTGGGGTTTTTACTTTTTGCTAAACAAACAAAAAAAGACAATATTTTGACGAAATAAAAGGTTTCCTTAGTTTCTGATACAAAGTTTTTTGTAAATTTATTTTTCTCCGGCGCGGATGAGGCTGCCCTGATGGGCGCGGATGAGGCTGCCCTGATGGCGCGGATGAGGCTGCCCTGATGGGCGCGGATGAGGCTGCCCTGATGGGCGCGGATGAGGCTGCCCTGATGGGCGCTGATGAGGCTGCACTGATGGGGCTACACTGATCACAGGGGACATCTACACTACCCTGATTATCGCCACTTACCGGCTTTCCTCTCCTCGCGCTGTCAGTGTGAGGAGAGGACTGGCATTTTATGTTTACACTGATCAGCTGTGATTGGACACCGCTGGTCACATGGTAAAGGGCCACTCTTATTGGCCCTTTGCCGCAATCTGTGATCACCGTTCGTGCCTGATGTGCACCTCGGGGCATGGTAATGGGGAGGACGGTTATAGACTCCCTCCCAGAAATAGCTGATCATGCTGTAGCCATCGTGGTTAGAGTGATACGAAACGTAAATTTTAAAAAACATAAACCAACATGTCATACTTACCTGCTCTGTGTAGTGGTCCCCTGCTGATGCTTCTGTCTCCCCCACAGCCTTCTGAGTGCCCCCATGGGAAGCCTTTTGCTATGGGGGCACTCGCTCCTGTCCATTGACACTCAGCCCCGCCCCCTGCTCCCTCCTCACTGGCTGTGATTGAAGGAGAGAGCATGGGAGAACAGCTGCTCTTGTGCACATTGCTGGACCGAGGTTGGTGCTCAGGTAAGTATAAGAATTGAAGTATACTTGGCCACTTTTGCTTTTTGCTCTTCTCCATCCCAATGTTTACCCTTTCAGTTAAGGAAATACCTACATTGTGTTGGGTGTGCACACAGTCTCTGTTTTTGTTGCAAATCAATCCTAATGTTGTCTTGGTTTTTCTTAGACTTTGATGGCGTTCTGTATCACATCTCCAACCCCAACGGTGACAAGGGAAAAGTGATGATCAGTATTTCATTGAAGTTCTACAAAGAGCTGCAGGACCATGGAGCGGATGAGGTGAGACTTTCCTCCCTGATTTAAAAATGGTCTTCATCAGGACCCCAGTGGCTTTTTTTTTTTTTTTTTTTTTTTTTTTTTTTTTGAGGCTGGCTGGAACTTTAGGGGAGCTAAGGAACATGTGTTTTGTTTTTTTTTTTTTATATTGAAATATCGTTGATGTTAGAAGCTGAATTAAGGCCCCTTCCACATGGGGCAGAGTCCACTTGCTCAGTGGAGAATCAGTCTGCTGATCCCCACTGCGCAATCGGATGGCTTGTTAGTGTGTGCTCCGCTTATGCAGAGCGGACACAGACATAGCCTGCTCTCTATGGGTGGATAGATTAAAATGGACTGCCTGTCTGTTTACACCTGACTGCCATCCATTTTGCTAGGAGGATTGGGAACGGATCCCCATCTGTCTGTTTTAGCAGAAAGGATTGGATATAGAACCAATTACATCCACCGCTCCATAGAGACTAATGCAGGGTCAGATCGGGTCTGCCTAAAAAAAACGGACAGCGGACCCAATCAGTCTGCCCGTGTGAAAACAGCCTAATGCAGGCCATAGATGGGTCAAAAATCGGCCGATTTTTCAGCCGAAAATAAAATCGGCCGATTTTCGGATTGTTAGTGGGCTAATTGTTCGTTTTTTTCGGTATTTTGGCAGATTTTTTTTATCGGTAAAGTTGGAAAAGAAAGTCGGCCGATTTTGCCGATCGGCTGATTTTCGCGGCAATGGTGGGCAAATCGGCCGATTTTTTTTTTACCGATAAAAAAATCTGCGCATGAGCAGTGACCTGCAAGAGGAAGACAAAAAGAAGAAGAGGATGAAGAAGAAGAGGAATTCCAGTCCGGCAAAAAGTGTCCCTGCAGAGAGCTCCACTATTTCTTTGACAGTTCCTTGACATGTATAGCGGTTGCAACAATGTATCTATTTGTTTCCAAATAAAAACATCTGTATCCTAAATGGATACAAATAGATACATTGTTGCAACCGCTATAAATGTCAAGGAACTGTCAAAGAAATAGCGGAGCTCTCTGCAGGGACACTTTTTGCCGGCTGTAGACGGGATGAAAATCGGCCGTTTTTTTTACGTTGCTGGTAACGTCGGCCGCTTGAACGACCGATTTTTCGTTTTTTTAAAAGAAAAATCGGCCGATTTTCGACCCGTCTGTGGCCTGCATAAGAGGGAGATTTACTAAAACTGGAGCACTCAGAAGCTGATTGGCTACCATGCATAGCTGTGCCAGATTCTAACTTCAGCTTGTTTAATTAAGCTTTGACCATAAAACCCGGAAGCTGATTGGTTTCTTTGCAGGTTTTGCACCATGCAGTTTTAGTGAATAACCCCCTATACAGGCGTACCTCGGTTTACGAATTTAATGCGTTCTCTGGGACGTTTCGTATTGCGAAAAATTTGTAAACCAAAACGCGGTTTCCCAAAGGAATGCATTGAAAACCAATTAATCCGTTCCGTAGGTCAGAAAAAAGTAAAAAAAAGTCTTATCTGTTCAAAACTCTTTATAAAGTGCACTTTAACCCCTCGCCTACAGGGCACTTATACCCCCTTCCTGCCCAGGCCAATATCCAGCTTTCAGCGCTGTCACACTTTGACAATTGTGCGGTCATGCAACACTGTACCCATATGAAATTTTTATCATTTTTTTTTAAACAGATCTTTCTTTTGGTGGTATTTAATCCCCTCTGGGTTTTTTTATTTTTTGCTAAACAAACCAAAAACCACTGAAATTTTTGAAGAAAAAAAAAAAAGTTTTTTTTAGTTTTTGTTATAAAATGTTGTAAATAAGTGATTTTTCTCCTTTACTGATGTGCGCTAATGAGGCTGCAGTGATGGGCACTGATGAGGAGGCATTGGTAGGTGGCACTGATGGGCATTGACAGACATCACTGATGGGCTCTGAAAGGCAGCACTTATATATGGCACTGACTGGCACTGATAGGTGACACTAAAAGGCAGCTCAGATGGACACTGATATGTGGCATTGATGTGGCAATGATGGGCACTGGCAGGTGGGAAACTTACTTCGTATTGCGAAAAAAAAATTCATAAACCGAGCCATTATTTTCAATGGATTTTCATTTTCGCAAACCGAAAATGACATTTAATCAAGGCGTTCGTAAACCGAGGTACACCTGTTTGTTTAAATGTACCATCCAATTAGAAGTTGTAGCGCCTTATTGATTTGCACACAGTGAGCCTAGGCCACCAACACAGGCATTAATATAGTTCCCTAGACCAAGCGCCCCCTTCCTTCCCTACTGCTTGCTGACGCAGAAACCCCTGCCTTGTTTGGGGAGAAAAAAAAAATGTTCACAATTAAAAGTCAGTACAAAATGTGTTGTCACACTTCAAGAAGTATATGCTGTCAGTAATCACTTGAAGAGCTTGCTGCTTTCTGGCTGCAGCACAGTGCAGAGAATTTACAGTAAAGTGAAAGCTTCCACTTTAGCGTAGCTGCAGTGTTTGCTGGGTGGTGTTAGTAGCTCACTGGCTGCTTTCATTTGTTGGCTGCGTTTTTTGCTTTTTAAATTTGCAATCTGCCTGGAGTTTGTGCACAGCTTGCCTTTTGAATAAAATGAATGTGTTGTTGCTGTTATCATTAATCAGGATTTATATGGCGCCAACAGTTTGCACTGCGCTTTACAACTTGAATAGAGACAGTACAGATATCATACGTGAGGATGGTCAGGCAGGCCCTGCTCCTGTATATACATAACTTCACCATGCTTGCTCACAAGTGTGTGTGTGTTTTTTGTGGGGGGGGGGGGGGGGGGGGGGGGTCATGGGACCTTCTCCCAGGTTGCACTGCTGGGGACTAAGTGGCCATTTGTGAGACCCAAACATGTGGGTGAGCAGAGAAGGTCATTACCCTTTGCTAGCCATGACCGCGAACTACATGTGCTAACAAAGGGAATAGACTAGGGGTGCACCGAAATTTCGGTGGCCGACACGTTTGGCCAATATGGGAAAAAAAAGCACTGATACAGGTGCTAAAAAAAACGCTGCCGCCAACCGCTCGCCGCTGCCGCCACTCAGTAGTTCTCAGCCTTACCTGAGAAACCATCAAACGATCCCGGCGCTGGGCATAGAGATCAATGAAGGAAAGATGGCCTCCACTCATCTCTATGCCCTTGGAGGACCGGAGGCTTTTTTTTTTTTCTCCTGTTTAACCAATTCAATACCAGGCAATTTTACACCTTCCTGCCCAGGCCATTTTTTCAGGTTTCAACGCTCTCACACTTTGAATGACAATTGCGCGGTCATACAACATTGTACCCAAACTAAAATTTTATTTTCTTCACACAACTAGATCTTTCTTTTGGTGGTATTTAATCACCGCCGGGGTTTTTATTTTTTTTGCGAAACTAACAAAAAAAGACCAAAAATTTTGAAAAAAAAACACGTTTTTCTTTGCTTCTGTTATAAAAGTTTACAAATAAATAATTGTTCTTCATAAATTTAGGCCGAGATGTATTGTCACTAGTGCAGTACAGCATCATCATAAAACCGGCATGGCGGTGATCAGGGACACTGACTGGTGACAGTATGGAAAAAAAAAAAAAAAAAAAAAAAAAAAAAAAAATATATATATATATATATTTTATATTTTATTTATTTATTTTATTTTTTATTACATTTTGTAAGATTTTTTTCATATTTTACTATGACCAATGTAGTACAATGTTACCATAGTAACACTACTATGGGGAAGTGATCAGTATTTTTTTTTTTTTTTTTTTTTTTTTTTACACAATTTGCTTATAGCAAAGAATTGCTTTGCTATAAGCAAGCATTTACCTGAATGAAATCGATTCATTCAGGTGTTTTTTTTTTTTTTGTGCTTAGCTGCGATTTGGCCACAGCTAATCACATGACATGTGCATGTGACCTCCTGTGACCATTCACAGCTAGACACTAGTATACAATGGATGGCATGAATGAAGCCATCCATTGTATACAACTGTCATGTGACCTGCTGTGATTGGTCACAGCAGGTCACATGGTACCGGCAACGGGGGCCGGTACTCAGATCTGTCATCGGCCGTGTCCGAGGTATACGGCCGGTGACATCGCGCCGCTGCGCGGCTCTGCAACCGCACATGTGCGGGAGGACGCCAAATGGCATACACCCCGGAAAGGTAATGCATTTTTGCCGCTGCCAAACGGCTATAGGCCGGGCGGCAAATGGTTAAAGCAATAGATCAATGCTTTTTTTTATCTAATGCTTTACATTGTAGAGGAGAGATGTGCGGTCTTATTGATCCCGTATGTCTCCATAAAGAGGACCTGTCATGCTTATTTCTATCACAAGGGATGCATGCATTCCTTGTGATATGAATAAAAGTAACAAAAATTTTTTTTAAAGGGATGGTGCAAAAAAAAAAACCCCTAAACCATTATAAAAAAATTAAAAAATGTTTAAAGTGTACCTGTCGCACCCACCCCACCCCTATGCTTGCACGTAGTGGTGAACGCATACATAGGCCACGCCCACATATGTAAATGGTCCTCAAACCACAAACATGCGGTATCGCCATGAACGTCGGAGCAAGAGCAATAATTCTGGCACTAGACCTCCTCTGTAACGTTACACTGCTGACCTGTAGAAATTTTAAAGCCTCACCCATGGAGATTAAGTACTGCAGTTTGACGCCATTCCACAAGTGAACATCCAGTCGGATGCAGGCGCTGTATGAGTATTTTAACTGCTAGCAGGGTCTGCTGTTGAAATATGATAGCCACAGCGTGAGATTCATTCATCCTGGCTGTGTAACTTAGATGGAGGAATCTTTTGGGTTTTTTATCCTTTTTTTTTTTTTTTTTTTTTTTTTTTTTTTTTTTTTTTTTTTTTTTTTGTGACTTAGGTGTTTCATACACAGACAGCCGTTCTAGGAAGTATGTGCTCTACATGAAAAATGAAACAGCCAGTCCATAATATGTGAGCTTAGTATCACAAAGGACTTCAGGCTCACATAGTAACTTTAGATATGTATT